CATATTTTTGTATTATTTAATTTTATGTTGCTTAAAAAACATTTACTTTTTTCACATTATAATAGGAAAATATTTGATTGATATGAAATAAGAAATATAATTGGTGGGAAATTTGAAATGTTGTTAATACATTAATGTCTAAGTTGCCATTTTAGCCTAAAACAGATTTAGTACAGTTTGTTTTAAGATGTTATCTCCTTTTTAACTTAAAATTATTCGATTTAGATAAAAATAAAAGTTAACAAAAAATCCTTCCCTTTCATTATTTTTTAATTTTTGAAAAATTTGTATTTTAAGTTTTTACTTTTACTTTTGCCAAAAGAATGTCCCTGCCGTTTATTTATCGTCTGCCGTTTATTTATCGTCTATTCTTACTGATTTATTGTAACTGATTTTCTAACTTAGCAAAAATGCTATTAAGGTCGAAAGAGCTTGCAAAAAATTGGTGAACATTTTTGATGTTGAATAAACAATCAGACGTATTTTCGGAGCAGCTTTTTTTCCATTTTTACATAATTATAGAATTCAATTTATGACGTTTTATAATTCAAAACACATTGAAGTATTGTTAAGTGTGTTTTGAATATTCAGTTTCATTGAGTTCTATTGAAACTGAATTGCGCTCATCTGTCCACTGAGTTTTAATGAGAACACACGTTCAACGAGTGTATTATGCGGTGGAATGGAAAATGAGTGTAATTTTGAATGAAGTTTTTTTACTTTCTGAATTAGTAAAATCATGCAAATTTTCGTTTTTCATCCTTTACACGTTTTATTATAGCAGAGGTTAGAGTTCTGGCTAAGAAACAAAAGGTTCAATGACGGTTCTGGCAATAGACAAGCAACATTTCCTATGTTGCAACTTTTCCTAATGCAATTTTTTGCAATAAATAGCTTGTTTTTTTTGTTGCTATATACAACATTTGTCATCATATGTATGTGGATACGCGCACAAATATGTGCATCCGCGCATGAATATGTGCGCATACTGATCTCGATGATAAGTTTATGTCTATTTCTGGCTCCGGTCAAAATTAATATATTATGTGTTTATTGTAAATGTAATTGATGCGGCAAAAAAAAAGAGCGCAGAACTAAACTAATTAAAGGGAAAAACTGAGACACTTGTAGCGATAATAATCTATATTAACAAAACATTGACGGTTTTATTGTAAATAAAGTATTAAAAATAACCAACTCCTATAATTGCAGAAAATATTTTTCTTTTTTATTTGTAATTCAAATTATCTATATGGTGCCTTTTTTCTTGCATTATCATTATCATGCTCATGTGTCACGAAATTGTTTATTAAAATAAAATAATTTTTTAATGCTTTAGATCAAAGTGCTGTTTTGTATCTGATTATTCATAAAGGTTTGTGGCTTTAGAAGTTTCGATTTTCTTTGTGACTCTAGGAGTTCCATTTTCACGCAAAATATTGGAAGAATGTTGGAAAGTATTTGTAATTACTAAAATCGCTATAGAAATTCCAAAAAAAAGGAATTTTTTTTTTAATTATATTTAAGATTAAGATGCTAGTATATATTTATATAATTATAGCTAGTATATAATATATAATTATAGCATTTACTACGAGTAAGTTAGGTAAGTTGCTACAATTTAATTATAGCAGTTGCTACAAGTAAGTTAAGTAAGTTACTACAATTTAATTGTAGCAGTTGCTACAAGTAAGTTAAGTAAGTTGCTACAATTTAATTATAGCAGTTTCTACAAGTAAGTTAAGTAGGTTGCTACAATTTATAATATACTATTATAATAAGTTGCTTGTGATAAATTGTTTGCTTTCAATTTAAAAATTTTGTTAAAATTGAGATTAGTTTTGCAGCTTAAAAACTGTTAATGCATATAAAACTGCATATAAAACTGTTTAAAAATATCTTAAACAGTTTTATATGTAGTTGTGAATCAGATTTTGTGTTGTCAGAAAAAATGATTTATTTTGTAAAGATATTGACGTGGAATATATTAATCTGGAACTCTGATGCTTGATTTTCAACCATGACTAAGCGATATAAAAATAATGTAAATGAAACAAAGTTTTTCTATTTATTTTCTTTTTTTAATGCAGAACTTATCTTTTGTAAAGTTTTCAGAAAAATGGCACTTCTTTTTTTTTGGCATCTTTGTAAGAAAGACGCTGAAATAAATAATTAAAACACAAAATTAATCTGGACCAATATTTTGTTGGTAATGAAAAGAAATTAATGTAAAACTGTTTAAAAACAATAGAATGCATTTTTCAATACATTCACGTTTTATAATTTTAAAAAATTTTAATTTAAAAATAACTAATTTTTCGTGCGGCAGAAGCTCCGCAGAATGCCTTCCTTTGTAGTTTCTGTTGTTTTTTTCTTGGTTATTAAGGCGTTTCAAGACAACCTAATGGTCTTATTACGGAGCACCGTGGAAAAAAATTTGTTCCAGAAGTTCAAGCCTCCTTCCGTAAAAATATCGCTCATTAGGCTAGAGCCGGTATCAAACCTCGAACCTCTTGGTTCTGAGCCAGAATTCTAAACACTTGTCACAGTTGGTTATGCTTGCTACGTTCGGTTTATCTGCAACTTGCGGTTGGCTGATTCATTTTGCCAGTTGTTCCATCAAAGTGGTGCAAAGAACGACTGATGGGTGTTTAAATCCACTTACAAATGTTGGTGTCAATGCGCATGCATATTCATTATTTTAAAGTTCAATATTATCGGAAATATATTTTTGAATAGATTAATAATTTTAAATTGACTGAAATAGATATCAAGTGGCCGGGGACACTGACTTACAGGTCTCAAAAGTGGGGTATGTCCCGTTGTAGCAAGACGTATAGCCACTAAATTCAAAATATCGAAACTTTTGCTTTACTAAACAAATGGCTAAAGCATGATTTTGTTAAAAAACGCCAGTAACAAGTTTCTTGCTAGTTTTTAAATTAAAAAAAAAAAGAATAATCAATAATAAAGAATAATTTAAATTCTTTTAAAATCGAGTAACAGATTGTGATAGTTAAAAGTTTGAAACTCAGGGTAAAGTACTTAATAAAAACTTAAATATTAAAAACAAGAAAAAAGAACACGGTATCTACAATAACACTAACGTCAGCAATTATTTAATCAATAAAATTTAATCAACATTAACTAGCAAGAATATACTAAGCTATATATGAACTAGCAAGAATATACAAAGCTACTAGCAATTTATTGCTACTAGCTATTTATTTGATACTACTAGCAATTTATTGCTACTAGCTATTTATTTGATACTACTAGCAATTTATTGCTACTAGCTATTTATTTGATACTACTAGCAATTTATTGATCTATGCTGTAATTCTTGAGACTTGTTATATAGAGACGAAAAATAAAAATTATTTTCTTATAGAAGAGATATTCTATCTTTTCGGCAATTTTCTTATATTCTGTTTTGTTTTACTGGTTTTGTAATCTTTGCTATGGCTTATTTTTTATTGAAAAAAGTTAGTCTAAAATAAATGACAATGATTGTAATTGTAAGAAAAGCACAGCTGTTGTCAACTGTTAAAATGGGCCACGCCTTTTAAATATTCTTTAATATAACTCAAAATATCTGATTGTTTGATACAAACTAAAATCCATTTAAAAACTAACCTGTAACCCAAAAAACTTTAAAAACTTATAAGAAAAAGAAGCTTAACAAACACTTGCAGCAAAAAATTATCGAAAATGAGAAGCAACTTTTAGTGAGTTTTCAACAAAATTAAAAATCAACTTTAAATGTTTGCAAAGTAAGTATTTTTTACTCTGGGAAAACGTTTTATTTTATTCAAATCATTTAAAAACATGTTTTACAATTTTTACAATTAAATATTAAAGAATTTTTTCAAAAATCAATAATGAGAGGTGAAAGGAAAAAAAAAAAGAAGATGGTGCTAGTGATGTAACAGATTCAAAAATGGCGAAATACTTTTTTATAGAATAAATTAAAATTTCATATTTTTATTTAACAATATCAAATGTTACGAGTTAGAAACTCCTTTAGTTTAGAGTTAGAAACTCGTAACAGTTGATATTGTACCAAAAAAAAGTCGGTTAACTTTGAATGAAATTTTAGAATAGTTGCAATGGATTACAAATCTAATAAATCCATAAAGTGGACAACAAATACTAAAAACGAAAGCTCATAAGCTAGAAAAATATTTAGGCAGTCGCTTGAGTTAAGTATAATTAGTTCCATAAAGTAAACACGCAGGTATGAAGGAAGGAAGGAAGGGAGGAGGGGATTAATCAAAAGCGTACGATTGCGTAGACGGAAGACGAGGATAGAGTTAAAGACAGCGAGTACGTACGCAGTTTAACTATCTCTTGTTCTCTATCTCTTCTAAAACCTGATTTCTTTTTTTTTTTTTTTTTTTTGGAACAAAAGCATTAAGTTTCACGAGTTTAAATAATCAATATTATGTTATGTAACAAAGATATGTCGAGTAAACTAAAGGATTTTTTGTTAATGTTTTGAAAAATTTATGTGTTAGGGAAGGAGGAGTTTTATACTTTTGTAATAAATAATGTGTATGTATGCAGAGGCGGGGAGGTGGGTAAACGGGGCCTTGAAAACATACATGCAGAAAACATACAGGTGCGTTCAAAGGGGAAAGGAGGATCCTAAATCAGTGGTTTTTGTGCGTAAGTGCTTTATGCAATCCAAAGTTTAATGGTTTTAATGGATTACAAAAGATTTCAAATCTTTATTTTAAATTTTAAGGTTTCAAATATTTATTTAGAAATTTTAAAAAGATACAATGGCGCCATCTAAATATTTAATGCAAATTTCTTTTTCAGCTTTTAGTTTATGTAATTTACTGTTTATTATTATACATTATCAAAATAAAATACATTTTAAATAATTTAAATAATAACTTCACTGAAACTCAATTTACTTTTTTAAAGTAAAATTTCTATTGAAAATATGCTTTAAATTTTATTTATTTTAAATAAGGTTTATTTCAAATAAGGTT